GTTACTCGCAAGTCCAGCACAAATGAGCGACACAGACACAAATGGCAACACTGACACCTGTGCTCTTTATCAACCACGTTCCAGGACAAACGGTCCTCTGTAATCAGATGCTGGAAGAACTTGTCCAGAGAAAAACTATCAGGAAGACCAAGTAAAGTATGGATTTTCATTCACAAACTGGATATTGTGCTGTGAGACATGAACTAAAGACAGAATGAAACTCTCGTGATTAACAAGATACCGTTTACGTCACCTTTCAGTATTTCACCTTTCTGTGGGGTAGCTAAGCACTCATACTTTATAAACAGCTCAGTATGCACACACCAGGGGTGAGTGTCAAGGCCTCCCTACTGATGGTGTGCCTATAAGAAGGCTTCAGAGACCACAGCCTAGACTTAGCTCCTTCCATAACCAGCTCTGGGAGGTCTGGGCAGAGCATCTTACGCTTCATTACATACCCTACTTAGCAGGCCAATACATGCTAAACGATTAAACTCATCATTCTACGTAAAGTACACTTCTGTTTATGTTTCTGAAAATTCTGGCAGTAAAGTACCACTTACCCTATAAAGCCATAGCTGGATCTGAAATCGGTCATTTATAATATAGACACTGCCTCAGGATTGCTCTTTAATAACATTTCAAACCGTTCCTACGGCTTTGGCCATCCAATTCATGTCAAAGAACAACTGAAAGGCTTATGCCTGGCCCTTCTCTCCCTATAATGTTATAAGCATGAAGAAAATAAGACAGAATTTTATCCGGGCACACAAAAGCCGTGTTTTACAGGGCAGTCCTCTTGGACGACTGTTTCTAGACATTATTCTCAGGAATTCACTTTCAACTACTAACCATACATGAGGTCTGCAGTTAAATTAGAATTATAGAGGACAAAAGAATGTTAAGTGGTCGTCAGAATTGAAAGCAAAAGTTTGCCAGCCTGAAGGAGGATCAGTTGAAGTGATACCCCATCTGCAAATGTTGTTTGAGGAGCAGACATTTGAGCAGTCATTTCTTTTCTAATTTAAGCTTCATCTCCAGCAGAGAATCTCATTACGCTGGACATTCCGAAGATTGGGCCAGAGCTGATGATGTGTCTAAGGTATGTACAATGGCATTTAAACAATAATTAGTTAATCCCTGTACAGAATTCTTCTCATCTTCAAAAGGAAACACTCATTTACATATTAATTCAGTTCGGAAGACCTGATCCACACAACTTAACTCAATGTAAAAGCTTTAAAGTGAAAACCAAAAACAGGTTGGCAGGTGCATAGAGCTTCCCTGAGTTTGACCTCAGAATGGAAATGTGTACTCTCAGGGAGTTCATCCCATTCTTTTTCTGGTGTGCAGCTGAGCCACGGGAGCCAGCGACGAAAAATTCATGCAGGGTGCTTCAGCAGTCCCACCTATGGCCTTAACATCTGCTGGCTTCACGTCACATTAAAACTTCAAAGTGAATCCACCCCCGCGATGGTGGCAAGCTTTCATTGGGAGCAGGAGAATGGATAGCTCAGAGAAGTCCTCTCCTTCCCGACAGGAAATACCTGTGCAGAACATGCTGTAACTTACCCTCTTAACCATATAAAAGGGTGGGGGTGGGGGGGGAAGTTAAGGGATAATAATGCACAAAACGGCAGGCGGTACCATGGCGGGGCTGCATTTCACTTCTAATTGTCATGCATTTTAAAAATTTTATTTATTTTTATCTCAACCGTCTTTATCTTTTGCTTCCCATAAGCTTCAAGTGCAGCCGGAATATTCAGCAACTGAAAAGGTGGTGAGGTTTTGAACTCTCAAGTACACAGGTGATTGGGAAAATCTGTCATCTCCTCCTGTCAGCTGCGGGATAGCGCATCACGCACTTTGCTGTTTCGAGGCAAGGCTGGCCCTGGGTGCTACTCCACCTCAACACTAGGCTGTCCCTGCAGGGGGAACAGTTTATTACGACGACTGCAAACAAGAGGTGGGCCGCATAGCACTTTCCACTTTTAAATTAATTACAGTGCAATCCACCAGGAATTTAATTTCCAGTACCCTACCACCTTGATCGTATTCACTACAGAAATGTTCCCTACTTTATTCTCCTGATGCCAAGGGAAAATTTATCATCGTTAAATGATAATTGGCTGTAATATCTTTAGATTCTTCAGAATTGCTGGCTGGCAAGTTCTTAAAATTTTTCATCAATCTTGTTTGGTGTTTTTACAAAGCCTACATTAGAGAAAAAAAAAAAGATGTCTAAGCCTGCAGAACACACTGCATCTTACTACCTGCATGAATAGGTCCTGAGAGTATCTAACTTCGTAATAAATCTGGTGGGGTTGTGCACCCTCCCTATTTCACAGCCTCACACAGCACTGGCAGGGAAGTCCTGAACCGCAGTTTCCCCCCTTACAGCGTTCGTTGCAGTCCAGAAAGGAGCAAATTTAAACAATTAATTCTGGGGAATTCCCTAGCAGTCCGGTGGTTAGGACTCGAGCTTCCACTACAGGGTGCAAGGGTTCAATCCCTGGTGGAGGAACTAACATCCCACAAACCGAGTAGCATGGCCAAAAAGATGAAAACATAAGTAAATAAAAATGAAAATAAATAAACAGGGACTTCCCTGGTGGCACAGTGGTTAGGAATCCGCCTGCCAGGGTTCGATCCCTGGTCCAGGAAGGTCCCACATGTCGCGGAGCAACTAAGCCCGTGCGCCACAATTACTGAGCCTGCGCCCTAGAGCCCGTGCTCCACAACAAGAGAAGCCACTGCAATGAGAAGCCCGCACACCGCAACAAAGAGCAGCCCCCGCTCGCCGCAACTAGAGAAAGCCTGCGCACAGCAACGAAGACCCAACGCAGCCAAAAATAAATAAATAAAGTTTAAAAAAAGAGACTATTTAAAATAAATAAATAAACAATCGATTCTGGGGTCTTCTGCAGATTTATCAAGATCTGATCTTTAGAGGTTTTCAAAATAGAATTTTAGTGAGAAAATGCATGATTGGGCGCCCTTTGAATTTTAGGTAAATCTAACACATCAACAGTGAGGTTCACCCAAGGATTAAAATAAGGCCGTTTCCTCAACCTCCTTACTTGTCACGTTTTACCTGGTCCCCATAAAAAGCAGAGAACACAGACGGGGACAGAATGCAGGTTTTCTCCTAAGAGTTAAAGTAAGTCCGTGCGTACCATCAGCTTCTTTATATCTCACCTTCTACACATTTTACCCAGTGCCAACGAAAAGATAAAACCTCACAAGGAAAAGAAATGCAACGCAGTTAATTATAATATTTATGAGCTGCTTCCAATATGCTTCTTGGTTAGATGCTGAAATTATTAAAAAATTTACATATTCCAATTATCTAACGCATGGTATGGCGTTAGTACGGCAACTTACAAATTCACTGTATTCGTTTTATTTCTACTGGCTTTGTAGAGTAGGCATGTAGGAAACTACTAGGTGCAGACTATTTCATACCTTCGTGATGTTAGCATCAAGTTAACCAGAATATTTGTGGAATTTTTTTCCCCCTCTTCTAATAGACTAAGGTCAATTTTTGTGTTTCTGACTCAGAATTCCACCAATTTGACCTATTATTATCCTGGTATGTATATTACAACTGAGTGCTGAATCAGATTTGCTAAACAGAATAAATGGCTCTAATTATAAAAGTTGGAAGTCATTAAAGTTATCACAATATATTTAATAACAAAATTTCCATCTTTTATTATTAATACTGAAAAATCTCCATAAATCACATTCTTTTTCTACTATGATTCTTGATTCATAGGGTCCTTCAAACAGCAGCACAACATGCACTGGCCTCTGTGAGCCCTACACCTGATCAATGGACACAACTCTCTGAAGTACCGCAAAGGCCCCGCTGATGGCCAGCTCTGTACCGCCTGTGGTCTGGGGCTGAGGACTCAACTCCTAGAAATTAGGAGCTGGTGGCAGGGTGGTGGCCACCTAGGAGCACTTGCCGGGCAGGTGCGGGGCATGTGGGAGCACACGCAGTTAATGCCCACCGTCTCCTGACCGTGGTGCTGTTAACCCAGTAAACTCTATTAGGCCTAAAGCAACTGTATCCCTCAAGGACCAGGAGAAGCAAACACTATGGTCTATCCCGCCTATGAAACAAAACTTTTCAAACTACCCGAAGGGGAAAGCCATTCTTTCAAGGTGGTTTTTAAAAACATGACATCTACCACTATACAGACAAATCCGCTTAACTCACCCTTGTATGACATGATCATAATATTTTGAAATCTACCATGACCATTTCCCAACTGTATTTTCTCAACGGCATAATCACTGCATTTCATACCATGAAGCTGCATGCTGCAGACATTTGGTGGCACCTCTGAGACGCACCTTTTGCTCTCTTTTAGCTCTGAGTTCTTGCTTCTGGTCATTTCCCCCTCCTACGGCAATCAACTCTTCCTAGTAGAATTTCTGGAGCCTTCTTTCAAAGGCCAAATATTTAAACTAAGTTGCCTAAACCAAAACATCCTTAAATCAACTGAACATTTAACTGTGATGTGTGTGTATTTTCTTCACGATCCGGGCTTTTAGTTACTCTTAAGATATACTCCTAATTTTAACACAACTTAGTATATATATATTTTCTCAAAGATTTTTTTTTTAATTAAAGTAAAAGAACATAACCTGTGGCCTAATCTAGTCTCAAGGTTCATGGACACAACTCCTTATAAGCCAAAAGATGTTTCGTTGCTGTTAACAACCATACACATTAACAGAGTACAAAAGCAAAAATGTTATTTTAAATTCCCCCAAACAAATAAGATCCTGTATTTAGAATTACTGGTCAGATTCACATTTTCTGCCTATCAGTTCAAAGAAAGCAACAATAGACATTGGATCAATACTGAACCATAACCACTAACCCAGAGAGGTAAGATTTATTGCAAAATGCCCCAGGAGATGGTGGTTATTAATTAAATCCAGAATTCACTGCTTTCACAACGACCACGTGGGATTTGGGCGCTCACCTGCTATGCTCAGGTGAATGAGCGGGCTGGTCTTGTTCTCCCCGTTCCTCTCGTTGACGGCCTGCACGTAGTAAGCCCCTGCGTCGCTGGCCGTCGCTGCCAGGATCACCAGCTGGTTCTCCAGCGTGATGGCTCTGCGTCAGGGAAGAAAAGAGACAGTGTCAAGGCCGGTCCAGGGAGCTTCGTATTTGTAAGACAGATTAATTTACCAGGCTGACCATAAGGCAATGTCCAGAGTTGTTTTTGTTGTTGTTGTTCTTGTTTTAAAGGTTAAAAAAAGATCTGGAAGGACACAAACAAATCCCCAGGCCGACCTGAGGAAAGAGGTGGCGGCTGAGCCTGCGGAGGTCCCATGCTGCGCTGGCTTCTGCCAGGGGCCTGGGAGCCCCAGGCACCACGTCCGTACCAACCCTGGTTGTGCAGAAGACGGCCTTTTGGAACATACACATCCAGAGTTTGCTGCAACTCAAAGGTTCCTCTGGGAATTCGTAACAAGACAGGTTAGAAGAAACTCTGGAAGAGCTGGCCTTTTTCTTTCAGGCAGGGCTCTGTGATCACACTGGACCGCGGAACCCTGGGCCCGGGGCGACGAAATTTATTGTGATTTCTCCACTCCCAGGGAGCCTCATTAGAGATTTTGTACATCTATATATAGACTAACGGGTAGAAGAAAATTAGTGGGCACAGTGCTGACCTCTTCAACTCAATTTCCCCATAATTACTAACCCCAGGGCTGCATATTCTCCACCTCTGCTATCTCTCCACAACCTCAGGTGCTGACCAACAGTCTAGGTGATCATCCCTGAACCCTTCTCATATATTCCAATTCTACTGTGTAAAGGAATCTCTGAGACACATTTGGCCCACCCTCCTTCTCTTAAAAAATGAGAAAACAGAGGATCAGAGAGGTTAAGTTGTTTTTCCAAGGTAAAACAGCAAGGTAACAATACCAGAGGGAGGACTAGGTCTTCTCACATGTAGACTGGTGCTCTGCCAACCATACCATACAGACTCTCGCCCTTACTTATTTAAAAGAAGAAGAACAGCAAAGACACAAATTCCATAAATCCAAATAATCTTTCAGTAAATGGGTGCCCCAGTGTCCTTTGCTCATGTTATAGTTCTATATTCTTTTTACTAGTTAAGGAGGTTGCAGGGTAGAACCTGCTAAAAATCAAAAACAAAAAAAACAAAGGTAAGTGATCTTCTCCTTGGCCGGTGAAGTGCACTTTGAGGGTCAGACACATTCTGAGCACCAAAATGTCATTCAGCCTACACTCTCATGCTCAAAACACTAGGAAACTCCTGGGACCCTGGAGTCCCACAGCTGCGTCACTCTATGGATGAACAGTTTTATTTGTTCATTTTTAATGCTAGATAGTCATAGCCCTTCTAGAGTCAGCTAAACTAAGATCTCTATTCTAGTAACATAAAAAAAACACGCAGGATGTAAAATCGGGGCCTCAGATGTAAATTCGGTGCCTCAGACGTAAAACTGGGGTCACTGATGTAAATCCGTGACCTCGGATGTGAATCCGGGACGCAGAGGCCTGTCAAGCCCAGGCGGAGTCCCTGGAGTGCTGGGCGGTGTGGGCGGCACAGATGGCCCGGCTCTGACCCTGAGGACACCAGCCACTCTACCCCTCCGGCAGCTCCGGGTCCCCATTGCCACGCACCAGCCAGGTGGTTCCAGGGATCTGGATGTCCGTGTCTTTGGGGGACCATTACTTCGCCTGCCACATGCTTGTGGGATCTTGGTTCCCAGGCCAGAGGTCGGGCCAGAGCTTCTGTGGTGGGAGCTCCAAGTCCAAACTGCTGGACTAACAGAGAACCTCAGACCCCAGGGAATATCAATCGGAGTGAGGCTGCCCAGAGGCCCTCCTCTCAGCACCAAGATCCAGCTCTATCCAACTGCCTGCAAACTCCACTGCTGGACGTCTCAGGCCAAACAACCAGTAAGACAGGAATATAGCACCACCCATCAAAAAAAAAAAAAAAAGAAACAACAAAAAAATATGTTACAGACAAAGGAGCAAGATAAAAACCTACAAGACCAAATAAATGAAGATGAAACAGGCAACCTACCTGAAAAAGAATTCAGAGTAATGATAGTAAAGATGATCCAAAAGCTCAGAAACAGAATGGAGAAAACACAAGAAACATTTAGCAAGGATCTAGAAGAACTAAAGAGCAAACAAACAGTGATGAACAACACAATCACTGAAATTAAAAATACTCTAGAAGGAATCAATAGCAGAATAACTGAGGCAGAAGAACGGAGAAGTGAGCTGGAAGCTAAAATGGTGGGAATAACTGCCAGGAAGCAGAATAAGGAAAAAAAGAATGAAGAGAACTGAGGACAGCCTCAGACCCTCTGGGACATTAAACAACCAACATTCGAATAATAGGGGTCCCAGAAGAAGAAGAGAAAAACAAAGGGTCTGAGAAAATATTTGAAGAGATTAGAGTCGAAAACTTCCCTAACACGGGAAAGGAAACAGTCAATCGAGTCCAGGAAGCACAGAGAGTCCCACACAGGATAAACCCAAGGAGAAACAAGCTGAGGCACATATTAATCAAACTATCAAAAATTAAATACAAAGAAAAAGTATTAAAAGCAGCAAGGGAAAAGCAACAAATAACATAAGGTTAACAGCTGATTTTTCAGCAGAAACTCTGCAAGCCAGGAGTGGCAGGACATATTTAAAGTGATGAAAGGGAAAAACCTACAACCAAGATTACTCTACCCAGCAAGGATGTCATTCACATTCGATGGAGAAATTAAAACCTTTACAGATAAGCAAAAATTAAAGAGAACTCAGCACCACCAAACCAGCTTTACAACAAATGCTAAAGGAAGGAAACACAAGAGAAGGAAAAGACCTACAATAACAAACCCAAAACAGTTAAAAAATGGTAATAGGAAGGTACATATTGATAATTACCTTAAATGTAAATGGATTAAATACTCCAACCAAAAGACACAGACTGGCTGAATGGATACAAAAACAAGACCTGTACATATGCTGTCTACAAGAGACCCACTTCAGACCTAGGGACACATACAGACTGAAAGTTAGGGGAGGGAAAAAGATATTCCATGCAAATGGAAATCAAAAGAAAGCTGGAGAAGCAATTCTCATATCAGGCAAAATAGACTTTAAGATAAAGACTATTACAAGAGACAAAGAAGAACACTACATAATGATCAAGGGATCAATCCAAGAAGAAGATATAACAACAGTAAATATTTATGCACCCAACATAGGAGCACCTCAATACATAAGGCAAATGCTAACAGCCATAAAAGGGGAAATCAACAGTAACACAATAATAGTCAGGGACTTTAACAGCCCACATCCACCAATGGACAGATCATCCAAAATGAAAATAAGGAAACACAAGCTTTAAATGACACATTAAACAAGATGGACTTAATTGAAATTTTTAGGACATTCCATCCAAAAACAATAGAATACACTTTCTTCTCAAGTGCTCATGGAACACTGTCCAGGATAGACCATATCTTGGGTCACAAATCAAGCCTTGGTAAATTTAAGAAAACTGAAATCGTATCAAGTATCTTTTCCGACCACAATGCTATGAGACTAGATATCAATTACAGGAAAAAAACTGTAAAAAATACAAACACATGGAGGCTAAACAATACACTACTAAATAACCAAGAGATCACTGAAGAAATCAAAGAGGAAATCAAAAACTACCTAGAAATAAATGACAATGAAAACACACAGATCCAAAACCTATGGGATGCAGCAAAAGCAGTTCTAAGAGGGAAGTTTATAGCAATACAAGCCTACCTCAAGAAACAAGAAAAATCTCAAATAAACAACCTAACCTTACACCTAAAGCAATTAAAGAAAGAAGAACAAAAAACCCCCAAAGATAGCAGAAGGAAAAAAATCATAAAGATCAGATCAGAAATAAATGAAAAAGAAATGAAGTAAATGATAGCAAAGATCAATAAAACTAAAAGCTTGTTCTTTGAGAAGATAAGCAAAATTGATAAACCTTTAGCCAGACTCATCAAGAAAAAAAGGGGGGAGACTCAAATCAACAGAATTAGAAATGAAAAAGGAGAAGTAACAACTGACACTGAAGAAATTCAAAGGAGAGAATACTACAAGCAACTCTATGCCAATAAAATGGACAACCTGGAAGAAATGGACAAATTCTTAGAAAAGCACAACCTTCTGAGACTGAACCAGGAAGAAATAGAAAATATAAGCAGACCAATCACAAGCACTGAAATTGAAACTGTGATTAAAAATCTTCCAACAAACAAAAGCCCAGGACCAGATGGCTTCACAGGTGAATTCTACCAAACATTTAGAGAAGAGCTAACACCTATCCTTCTGAAGCTCTTCCAAAATATAGCAGAGGGAGGAACACTGCCAAACTCATTCTACGAGGCCACCATCACCATTATACCAAAACCAGACAAAGATGTCATAAAAAAAGAAATTATAGGCCAATATCACTGATGAACACAGATGCAAAAATCCTCAACAAAGTACTAGCAAACAGAATCCAAAAACACATTAAAAGGATCATACACCATGATCAAGTGGAATTTATCCCAGAAATGCAAGGATTCTTCAATGTACACAAATCAATCAATGTGATACACCATATTAACAAATCGAAGGATAGAAACCATATGATCATCTCAATAGATGGAGAAAAAAAAAGCTTTTGAAAAAATTCAACACCCATTTATGATAAAAACTCTCCAGAAAGTAGGCATGGAGGGAACCTACCTCAACATAATAAAGGCCATATACGACAAACCCACAGCCAACATCACTCTCAATGGTGAAAAATTGAAACCACTTCCTCTAAGATCAGGAACAAGACAAGGTTGCCCACTCTCGCCACTATTTTTCAACATAGTTTTGGAAGTTTTAGCCACAGCAATCAGAGATGAAAAAGAAATAAAAGGAATCCAAATCGGAAAAGAAGTAAAACTGTCACTGTTTGCAGATAACACGATACTATACACAGGTAATCCTGAAGATGCTACCAGAAAACTACTAGAGCTAATCAATGAATTTGGTAGAGTAGCAGGATACAACATTAATGCACAGAAATCTTTTGCATTCCTATACACTAA